TGTGTTGATGTTCCCTTCACCAGCCCAAACATGCAACATGCAATCCTGGCCATGTAGACCTACAATCATCCTTCTTCGCATGTGTGCGTGCGTGTACATGTACATTTGTATGTGTTGTTGCAGTACTGTAACAGTGGGCTCAGAGGGTCCAACAGCTGGCAGAATGAACCGAATGGCACGACCTGCTCTGACGGAGACATCTGTACGCGGAAAGACATTTGTAACCAGCATGGTCAATGTCAGCCAGGATACAACTACAAACATGAGTGTGTATCACCTTGCCAGGCCTGCAGTGCATCAGGTTACTGTGCTAATGTCAAGGGATGTGCTATCAACGGCAAATGTGGATGCTGGATCGGGGGACAGTGCTATGCAGAAGGCACGCCACAACCTGGACGAAAGTGTAACGAATGCAATTTTAATCAAAATCCTTATGGATGGTCAAGAATGGCTGACGGGACAGGATGTAATGATGATCGATCTTGCACGTACAATGATAGATGCGTGTCTGGAATGTGCAGTGGAACCCTGTACTCCTGTTTAAAAGCAGGACCGTGCATGGCTACGAACGTATGCAATGGAAGTGCACCTCCTGACGGCTGTGTACCAACATACCATGGAACGTCAGCTATATGCTATCACAATCAAGACGAATGCGACCATCCGGACACATATTGCACTGGAACTTCAGCATCTTGTCCGCAGACCACTTTGAAACTCCTAGGTGGAATACGCATGGGCTCAATCGCCTTTCAACAGCTACCTGATGGCTCCAGCCTTCCAACAGGCCCCGTACATGCCTTCAATCATAGTCTTGTCAATGGAGTGTATATGACAGGCAATTCTTCAGTGCAGGTTGAATTACATGGATATTCCGTACTGTGCGGGAACCTAACTTACTCCATCCAACTCCTCCACATGAAGTCCACTTTCCAAAGCGAGGATGCAGTTGCGTTGATGGATGGAACCATCACGAGAAGAATTCTCTCGGAGAGTAACGTAACCCTGCGCGTTGTCCTGGATGCCCGTCTACTTCACAAGGAGATATACACGGTGTCAGTCACTGTATACGATACTCGCAACAACTCTGCGACATCACGATCACCTCCCCTACTGGTGGACAATACCGCTCCAGTGTTTGGTGGCGTGATACATGATGGGGTAGGTGGCAATCCACGTCTAGACGATAGTTACCAGTCCAGCCTGAACACTGTGACTGTTCATTGGGCAGTTGCTGGTATCAGAGATCTTGAAAGTGGCGTTGACCTCAACAGCTACAAAATGTCTATAGGGACATCGATCGGTACTGGCAATATTCTGTCTTCTCGTCCATGCGCTGCCGTTGATGTTATCGCAGGACGATGCACAGCCACGGGCCTCACTATGGTCAGTGGTACCAAGTATTACTGCACACTTGAAGTCGCTAACAGAGTGGGGCTTGTGTCCAGGTTTACTTCAGATGGCATCACGCCCGACGACTCAGCTGCCGATCCTGGGTTGATTTCACTCAGCATGCCCAGAGACTTGTCTGATGTGCAATACGTGCTGAACAGTAGAACATTGAGTTTCTCGTTCACTTTGTTGAACACCAGCGATCCTCAGAGCCATGTAGCATCTCTTCGCTGGAGGATCTGTGACACGACTAAGTCCCGGGAAGTATGCTCTCGCCAGGACTATTCGGAGTTTCATTGTCCTTCTATTCCTTGCACTGTGCACATTGTGCAAGCTGAGGATAGCCCACTAGTTGCAGATGGAGCATTCCTTGACAATCATCGTTATGATGTGAGGGTCAAGGCAATGAATGGTGCCAGTCTGGAGTCAACAACAACTCAGGAATTCTTGGTAGATCTGAGTGCTCCTAACACTGGATATGTCAGCCATGTTTTGACTAGCGCTGAGAAAACGTTGCCGGACATGTTCTCTACTCTAAAGTGTACCTGGAGTGGGTTTTACGATGTCGGGCTGGGCATCCACCATTACGAAGTATCCATTGTATCAATATCGGCCTACAACAGAACTGTCCCCGTGCTGGCAATGCCACGTACCACTGTGAGCAACGACACAACAGCCTTAGAAAGCAGTCTGCACTTATCACCTGAAATGCTGTACACTAGTTGTGTTACGGCGGTGGACAAGGCCTGGAACACGATGACACGCTGCTCAAACGAAATTACTATTGATCCATAGCCATCTGCAGCAGACTCGGCGAGTCGAGACGTCTAGTGTTGCCTATGCCTTACATGTATCATTAGGCACACAAGAAAAAAAACTAATTGGCTTTCGCAGATAGTTTATGTCGCACAAGTTACAAAAATAATTTAATTCCATCACAACCGTTTACACATATTTTGAGCATTGGGAGGTTTTTTCAACATTTACATGTGTATCAGAGTCACGTGTACTCATAATGCAGGCATCTCCACCAGGTGAACCCAACACACCATGTACATATTCCTATGCCAATTTGAATACTTATTAGAAGGTTGTTGTTGGTTTGTGCTTCGAAGATGTGTTGGAGCTACAAGCTTATAAAACTCTCATAAAACTGTAGGTGTCAGGTCGTTGAATGTCTCAATATTAGGGCTGAAACGATCATCCATTTAGCCCAATCGATTACTCTTTATCATAACGATCGATTATTCGATTATAATCTTTAAGAGGCCGCACCTGGAATATGTACGTAGAATGGCCAAAAGTGGAAATATGTACACAATTTTGCACAAAAAAGTGTTATGTATGCAGACCGGACGCGACCTTGACCTTCGACAGTTTGAGCTTCATGCTCCAGCTTCGTTGTACAGTACAATGTAGGACTGTTTTTCGATTTTGACAGCATGTAACAAGGCGAGTCGCGCGTGCAGTGCGTAAGAAATTGAAAATTAAAAAAACGCAAAATAATCGTAATCGGTAATCTAAACGATTGCTCGATCGTTAGAGTTATCAAACGAGTACTCGATTATTCGGTATAATCGTTTCAGCCCTACTCAATATCCCTGTCAGTTTTGTGCCTTGTTGTCGCACTATCTGACTGTATAATTGTCTCCTTACCTTGGTGACCTGTTAGTCATAACTAGTAACTTGTTGGTCCTTTCTCTCTTACATGAATACTATTGGCTCACCACCCGAGTTCAGTTCTTTATAGTAGAGTTGGTCAAACGAAGATAAGTGCTGCAACCCACAGTCGAGTGGGTTTTTATTCAACTTTTTAACCTTTAGCCATGCATGTAGTTCGAAGTATGTAATACAGAACTCAAATCAAGTATTCATAGTATTCAATGGTATTAGTTTACACAAAAAAGGCGAACATCGGAATAATGAGCTGATGATGCCCTCCTGCCCTGGGTGAACATTTGGAAACAATCGTTGTACGTGGTGTAGCCAAGGACTTCACGTCTTTGTGTGTTGCGAGTTGGAGGTGTACTGAAAAGATGACAAGTTTTTTTGCACGTCTGCCATCTACCGGACCTGCTACATTCAACAATCAGCTACTACTCGTTGAGGTCTACGACATGACTGTATCGGTACTCATTACTGCAGACAATGTAGTACTAGTAGTGTCCTTTTGATTTCCTAGATCAATAAAGACAATAATTGCTATGCAAAAGCATTTTCGCCTGGACACCGATAATTATAATCATCTGCTGCTCTAGCTACTGAGAGCAACTTTGTGGAGCGTCTTGCGTGATCGACGACAGTTTCAAGAGTAGTGGCACTGTGCGGCATACCAGGCGGGAAAATGTTGAAGATGGCCAGCATTTCTCCATTCGCTATAATGTTTTGCATGGCCTTTGCTTGCTTGAGTGTCGCGATGGCATCTGCTAATCCTTACCCACTCGATCGCAAGACTGTAGCCAGAGAGAATGATCCTCTGAACTACTACATATCCACTGGCGGAGACGATTCGAAAAGTGGCAGGAGTTTCGAGGACGCATTCGCTACAATTGACCGCTGCTTGGCCGAAGTCCGAAGTTTACGTAACAGCAGCGGCGGAAAACTGGCTAACGCGGTCTATTTCTACTTTGTCAACGTTAGTGAGGCAGGATCCTTGTTTGTCCTGGAGAATACCGTGGAAATAACTGCAGAGGAATCGGGCGATGGTAACGCGTTCGTTGTGTTTGGACCTCTCGACCAAACCAAGGTAACGTGGGAATGAATGAATCCACTCATTCCTAATGCAAATTCCAGACTGACTGAGATGAGGAAGTAGTCGTTGTGCTGGCTTATCAGCAGTATTTTGAATCAACACGGTCACTATAGTATGTCACCTTGTGTGGTTTGCCTGTGGTATGTGAATCAGCGAACACAAATTCTGGATACGTGCATACCACCAAGCATCCGTGTGACACGTCCCGGGTATGGTCATTCTGCATGATAGTCCTGTATTGCTGTCACTTGATTGTACATGTACCTGCTGTCTCCGTGTTTACTATTGCTCAGTCTGTGACAATCAGTGGTGGCCATCTGATAAAGAACTGGGTGAAAGCCGGTAACACCTGGACAGCCAAGCTGCCTGAGACACTGAAGTAAGCTTGTTGAATGAAATCTTTGACAGTTGGAATAGCTTGTGATTCTACCAATACATCAGAATTCAACAAAACCATTGCACTGAAAGGAGCTGAATGTCTTATAATATTATTATCTAAGTGTTACCCCCCCCCCCCCACACTCCCCTCCCCCGAGGTTGTTATTATGACCTAACAGACCCATGATCTACCACACCTATGATCTAACAAACCCTAGGCCGAACATACATGACTGTACATGTATGTTAGGATTGCGTGTTTTGAGTTTTGCTGTGCAGTTAGACCTAGGAGTATGTTTAGCAATGCGGCTACATTGATGTACACTATTGTCAAGAGTACATAAACAACAGTGCGCTACTCCGCATGCTTTTGCCCAAGGCGGAATCTCTGTGGCCATCAACCTTTCTGGAGATTATGGGTAGTACCGTACGAGGCATGTACTAAGAGTCTGTGGCCGCATTATCTTGGCCAGATTTCACTAAATCTGCGCTATGAGCAAGGTAAAAAAAGCTACAGAAGCGGAATAAAAGTTGATATTATGTTTTAAAACTCACGGTGGAGGTAAGCGACCGGGTCATTTCTACTCAAATTCAAAAACCGTTTTTCGGTCTGCCCGCAGTGTAGTGTATGGTGTAGTATAGACGATAGGTGCATGCCTGCACCTGTGTTAGGGATATGTACGACTCAGGGCCTATAGCCTAGGTAGCTGGCAAAAAGCACAAATTTGCATCATGCCTTGTGCACACATGCAGTAGATATTCATGTTGTCAGGAGTACACAGTATGTAAGACTCAGTACAGTCAGTCAACTGTGACATTGATCCATACCATGTGCATATCACACATCCGAGTATGTACACTATCTGCATTGCTTTTGTCCATTACTAGCACATCTATTTTAGGCCTCAGGATCGTTGATAGGAAGAGCCGAAAAGAATTGTCCAAAAAAGTGTTTTTCGGCCGACATAATCTGGTTTCATAATCTGGTTTCTTGGGCTTTGTCGACGCGAAAAAGGTCATTTTTGTTTTGCCCAAAGTATTGTTCGGATGGACTCATGAGATTGTGTGTCTGTAACTGGGGGGTTTGATCTTTTCTCTAGATCAGTTCGACAATTGTTTGTGAACGGCCAACGAAGGATGATATCCAACACAGGTGTGATGCAGTATGAAAAATTCGGCGACGGTCTCTCTCTGGATGAGGCCATGGACACAGGTAGGGAGGACTTGCACTGAATTTCTATGGAGTGTTTCTTTACTCCATACACATGTAAGGTACTCATGTGCTAGAATATGCCCCTTCCTGTGCATATTTAGGGTGTGATAGTGACATAAGCGTCAGAGTCAGGCCGCTACACACAATTGCCTTCTCACTACTAGTATCACCCAGATTCGAACCATTGGCCCTTTGGGAAATCCCGAGGCGCAGCTTTCATAGTTACTAGTAGTTGGAAATTGCTAGGACATGCAATCAGGTATATCGGGATGGTCCAAGACCATGCCGGAGAAAGAGAGGGTACTACGTTCAAGTCCTGCTTTCAAGTCTACTGGAAATTATCCAACAGTGCTGCAACCCACAGTCATTTGGGAACTCGTGAATTGGGAACTTGCAGCCAGGCACGATTGTAAAATTGGTGCGGCGAGTGGGATTTTTGGCCTTTAGCCAATTTTTTGTAGGCCTGATCTACTTGCCTTCTAACTGATTTAATTAACATCCTTGATGGTGGTGATGTTCCTACGGTTGCGGAAACTAATTCTGACAGAGTTATATGCAAACTGTGAAACCTATTATTATCATCGTGCATGTACATAGGTGATGACTTTGACTACATTGCATACAAGAGGAAAGCTCTGGCGAGATCTGAGGCAGATCCCAACTTCTTCACCTACCAAGAAGGCCAGGCAAGTTGAAAAAAATACTGCAGAGATATTTTACATAAATGTAGGAAAAATACTGGAGAGATATTTTAGGACTTAGCAGATTGAGTAAATGTTTTATTTTTTATTTATTTATTTTTAGTAAATGTAGGACTTAGATATGTGACATAGCCTGAGTGCCATGGTATAAGGAACTAACATTTCCTCTCGACCAGTCAGGACGGGATGCTATGCTCTCATCCACATGGACCTGCAGGTGACACAAGGCCATGCCAGAGGTGTAACATTTCTCACCCATCAATTGATGCATCCCACTTTTTCCACCCTTCTCTCATGCAGGCAGTTGAAGCAGCCTTATTTATACAGTATGCTGTCACAGCACCCATTTATACAATATGCTGTCACTGCACCCATACCTAGCCTACTATTTTGCACAAAGCGGTTCTTCTTTGCTGCATTTTTTAGGCACCGCTCGTCCTAAGAGCAAACAGCTCGATAATAATTATGATACAAACAATAGGAGGACAGAGAAAGTGTTTTTACTCCGAGTTTCACGCACTAAGCGATCATCAGAAAACAGTAATGAGAAATCTGGATCAGTATTGGTTTATATACACTCTCTTGGACAGCCTGGAACCTCTCTGTTTTAATAATTATGATACAAGTAGTTAGTCCTGAAGATGGGCCATGTCTGAAAATTTCAGAAGACTTTTCGGAGCATGCGCCTTGACATTGGTTGCTGTAAGATCACTGAAGTATGGAAATGTTTTCTCTTCATGGTCAACAGGTGCCTGCAAGCCTTGCCGAAGAAACTGGATTAGAAGCTATTGTCTATGAAATCTGGTAAGAGTTTGTTAATTTCACCACATTGATATTCCCAACACCATCACGAACGCAAGTGGTCTCTTTTCGGCAAACTTCTACACTTTCAATCAAATTTTTGGCTAGCAGCGATCGTGGCACCTGGCTGCGGCCTACTACCCTTCACTTCCTCCGTTGTCTGTATCTGGTTGTATAGCAGTGTACTTGAGTATGTGGATTGAGAAGAACTAAGCACTACAGTGAAACCTCGTTAGGACGAACACTGATGAGGCGAACTTTCCTTTAGTACAAACTAGGGCCAGTGTCGTTCCTGGACGGCGAGAACAGACGTTGAAGACCCTCGGTTATTCGCAACGCTGTCACCTCCAAACCAGCTAGACCTTGACACTTGACTGACTCGTGACTGCCATCCAGAGCACACGAGAAGTCCATCGAACCTCTCTGGTGTGGGGAGCACCGTTCCTCTAAATTCATCGCCAAAGTCACTACCATTATCTGGTAATATCAAAATCGTTCATGAAATAACCATTATCAGGAATGAAGTGGGCACTGGTAGGAGAACTGTTGAGATATTCACAACTGACAAGACAGTATGAATAAAAGTTGCTTTAAAAGAGTCCTCAGAGTATCTTTCGATTGTAGCCTACAGTATGTTACGCTTTCCAACGGCCGTCGTAAGAGAGTTGGAAAGCACGTGTCTTTGTGTGTAGCCATGACAATCATGGTGGTTCGGTGCGAGTCTGCGCAAAGCAGACACAGCCCAACATGGTTGTCACTTCGCAGTGGCCTACTTCCCTGATAGGACCAGAACTTCGCCATTGCCAGCGACTGGCTATGCTACTCTGTTGTTGTTTGCTGTGTTGTACGGGCGGAGCACAAAGACGCACTGGTGGAAACACGGATCACCCGACTGGGCAGCCATACTGATCACACGTTTTGCTTCTCTTTGCCCCAGGACTGCTTCTGTCCATCCGGTTACGGCCATACATCCATCAAATCGCACAGTGTACCTAAAGAATCCAGTGGCTGGAAGGTGGGAAACATCACCTGCCACGGGTCATCGCTACATACTGCAGAACTCGAAGCAATTTCTGAAGCCAGGGACATTCCACTTTGATGAGTAAGTCACAGCACTGGCAGCCTGACATTTTGCAAAGGTAAACTATTGAGATGGTGAGATCAAGTACCACAACACTAGCATATTTCTCAATATGTTCTCCTTCAAGAACAGAGATGAAGACTAGATGTTGGTCCAATTTTCAGCTAGGTAGAGCGCCTTGATCATTCTAAGTGATTATGGAATCATGCTCAATGACATCAGCTCAGGGTTACGTGAATATGCCAGATCCTGTGTCAGTCCTTGAGCTGTATAGTGATGCATGCTCACTGATTAGGCCAGTAATCAGTGTAGTGCGCAAGAGCTGAGTCCTCTCCTAATTATTCCCCTTGTGCAATTGGAATGTTCTTGTTTGACTTTCAGGACAAGCCGAGTGCTTACATACCAGCCAATGGAAGGCGAGACTCCATCAATGCAAGCTGTAAGTCAGTGAGCAAATCGTGGAGCATTCTTTTCTGTGCTCAGCAAACCCATCACATCACGAATCTGACGAGAGTGGAATTTCTGTTCTTCCAGACGGATCATTCCTGGTGTCACTGCGATCAACACCTCATCTAGCTGACATTGATTTTAGTAGTGCACGAATACACCAATGCTTCAATGGATTCGATCTGTGGTCGGGAGATTTTTGGAAAGTTTAACCCTAACCTTTTGGTGTCTCCCACATCCACTTGTGGGTATCGTCGAAATAACAGCATGCATGTACCCTGCATTGTGTGATCTGTGCAGTTATACCTTGCCACATTTGAGGCCAGAAGTCCAAGGACAGCCTATCCTTGGACTTCTGGCCTCAAACGTGGCAAGGTATGAAAGCCTGATTTTGGCAAAACCTGGCAGAATTTCTAATTCCCTGTCAGGGTCAGGGAATTAGAAATTCAGCCAGGTTTGGCTAAAACCAGGCTTTGAAGAGCCAGCGGGACTATTTTGGATGAATGGACTGTAGAAACATATTTTTCTGGTGCTAATACTGCACAGATTGTTCCTAGATTGACTGAGCTTGTGACCGTGGTGGGAAGCTCTGACAAGAAGGTGGCCAACATTGCATTCGTGTGAGTTCACATTCGGTCACTGTGTAATATGATGGTGTGCTTTTAAAATCCATCGCCAATCTGATTGTTGATTTGATGAATTTCAAGGGCCAAGCACCAGGATGAAAGCAATGTGACCAATAGGAACACGCTTTGGGCAGTAGTCCACAACTGATATTATGAGGCATTGCCATACCATCCGGGCTTCAGATGTATCCATGTTAAAATCCCTGGGCAGTGTTTTTGAATTCACCTTCTTCTAGAAACTGTGGGAATTGGACTTCAACTGGCAATGGGAAAGTACCTTTAAAAATTGATACAACAAGAGTATAGGCAACATAGAGCCAAAAGGTTTTACTATGAACACTGAAGTGCGTTGCTATAAAGAGAGGCAGCAAGAAGCCTGGTAAAGAGAGCTGGCATGACCAGTAGGCTCGCTCGGGCTAATGGTGCATGTAAACAGTTAGTATTCATTGGAAATACTGGGAGAGCTCTGCAGGGAAAGGATACTGGGAGTCCGCTCTGCAGGGAAAGGATACTGGGAGAGCTCTGCAGGGAAAGGATACTGGGAGAGCTCTGCAGGGAAAGGATACTGGGAGAGCTCTGCAGGAAAAGGATACTGGGAGAGCTCTGCAGGGAAAGTAGGCACGTATGCATAGTTTCAACTGGATGAAGGGAGAACTAGTTCATGGAAATGCAGTAAATAATGCTGGCTTTCCATACTGCTCTTTACGGCTAAACGGAGATGGGATTTGCAGGTACAAGCTAAACGGCTGGTGAGCCAAGTTCATAGTAGGTGGAGTGTGCTTCAATTTGGTATGATGCTAGCGCAACAGTTGATCACTGATATTGATGAATTAGGATTTAGCACAACAGTAATGAGTTATGGATAACAAACCATCTCACGTGTGTGGATTCTAACAATGCACCTTCTCCCAATTGTCCTCCTTGTTTCTGCAGTGGCCTGACATTTGCTCATGCTGCTGCTGACTACAGTACCTGCTTTGCAGGAGAATGCAGTGATCAGTCAGCCAATTTTCTAACAACCGCTGCCATCCGCATGGAGTTTGCGAGGTAAAAAGAGAGATCTTCTCCTCCTCCAGGAGGCTTGTGTTTGGAACTGACAACAGGTGTTCATTTGTGCTGACATGCCTGCGAATGAGACCTAACCTCCCCTGGTGATTATTATGCTATGAAAACTGTTTCTGCTGGAGAAGAAGGTTTACTGACACCGAGCTACTTTGCTCTGTTTCCTATATCTATCTCTATGGTGTGTTGTTCTCTTGCAGTAACTGTGAGATCACTATGTGTGATGTTGCCCATGTTGGAGGCTATGGAGTCTGGCTAGACCAGGTATTACGTCCGTTTTCTCTGTAAAAAAACCACACACCCTGTTAACCAAGAAATCATAGTATCTAGCATAGAATATGAACCAGGCAGTCGTAACATCTAACATTGCAAACCAGGGAGTCGTAGCATCTAGGGACTCAACATGAGCACACCCTGTAAACCAAGAAATCATAGTATCTAGCATAGGATGTGAACCAGGCAGTCGTAACAGCTAACTTTGCAAACCAGGGAGTCGTAGCATCTAGGGACTCAACATGAGATCAGATCTTGTAGATTAATATGCACGCCACACGGGTCAGGCGGCAGGCGGACATGTGTAGGGGGTGAAATTTTCAAAAGAGTGTTCAGCCACACAACTCACGACACCCGAAATCCAACATGTGTGAAGCCTCACTCGTGTAGGGTCATGTCAGTGAGGTGTTTTTGTGCTTTTGTCGCATTTTTATCATTATTTTATGTAAAGTTGGTGTGGAGAAAGATAATCAATAATGTTGTTATGTTGTTTGGCCATGTCTGCATCAATTGTACTCTTTACTGCTTTTATCATTTATCCAAAAAAATATTTCAAGATCGTGTATGTGTTGATGGTTGGTGTAGATTCACACGCACACGTACACACGTCCAAACAACTGTTTCTCAGTATCACCGGATATGCAACCTGTGTGATTTCTAGACATGAGTGCGCAGAGAGACACACTGTTAACATTTTTAAATGTTCAGGGGGAGTGCATCTTAATCGACCTATCACTCTAGGATGTGCATTTGAACCTCACATTTTGAAAATTGTCTGTCTACCCAAGTCTTGTCTATGCCACTTGCGATCACGAACTCGCCCATTGTCTGCTGACCTGTAATGTGTCCAGACCACCGCAGGCATATAATTTTTTTTTTTAATTCGACGGGTTCGCGTACCGAGCAGGTCAAGAACAAGGAGTCGTACAACTCCCTGGTCAAGAACCACCATTCCGCTTCCACAGGCATATACCAGTTTAAATCCACATCCTCACACACACAAGGGTGACTGGAATGAGCAGCCCGCTAGTGAAACCCACATCATGTTATATTACAGTTGCCACAGGTGCTTCCCGTACCTGGTGTAAACTACAGTCGACCTACCCTTATAACGATATTTGCGTCACACCAAGAAATATTGTTATAAGGGTAATATTGTTATAGGGGTAACTGGTTCATTTCATACACATACGTCATAATGCATGAATTCTGTTCATTTTTTACACTCTTCATAGCGTAAAAAACTGACGTACATGCACATTATGTGCACAGTAAGGTGCCCACCGGTGCCCCCATTGCATTTCGCCATGTCCCGGCGACTTATCAAGTGAAGCTTGCCCTACCTGGATAGTGGGCTCCACATGTTGCCTGCTAGATATTGTTATAAAATGGAAAATGTCGATTGGTCAGCCCATTTTATATCGTTATAGGGGTAATATCGTTATAGCAATATTGTTATAGAGGTAAGGCATTGTATACACAAGTCAATAGAGTGATTTGGTTTGGCAGAAAAATATCGTTATAAGGGTAATATCGTTATAGAGGTTATCGTTATAAGGGTAGGTCGACTGTAAATAATTGAACTTCAAAGTACAACAGTGCTAACGTGCTTACAGCAGAATACCAGTCTACCTCTGTGGAAAATATTCGGTAAATTGATACGATGTCAATGTTCGCTTGTGCTTGATCTCCACCACAGGGTTGCAGTAACAATACGTTGTCCTATGTAGAGGTATATGATGTTGGAGCTGGTGGAGTGAGAATTGGCCGAGGTAAGCTGCAACTGTGCTAGTGTTTGGCCATCATACAAGTAGGACACAAATGATTATAGATGAAACCGAGCAATAGCTCAACTACTCACTTCATGGTGTTGCTCCGAAACCTTTCGTGCATGCTGAGGGAATATCAGGGCTACTCAAGAAAAGCACCATGCCTTTTTGCCACACTTTGCGTATTTACAAACACCAATGAGGTCACATTTTCACAAGATTTCTGATAGGCAAAAAGAAAATCAAATCAGACTAGTTCCATTCTGGTTCGGGTTCGAAATGTCAAAACTAGGATTTTTATCGCTTTATTTTTTTAATGTGTGCACGTAGCTGGTCATGTTGTAGACCCTGATCTTCAAACCAACTTCAACACTTTGACTGACAGCACGCTTGCAGACGGTGGTCACATTTTCAAAGAGGTGAGATTCCCGTTATCTAATAGTCTCCTGTCGTTGATGAAACTCTGCTCGTGATGTTGCTCACTTGCTGCAATATACTATCTTGCTGGATGACCATGGTTGCTCGTCGCTGTGTATAATTATGAATTCCAGCATTGGCCTGTACGTGTGAATGCATACAATATTGCTACCTGCAGGGCTGCGGAGTATTGCTTCAGATGGCCGGCCACAACACAATAACACACAATCACATCCATCACTTTCACTACACTGGAGTCTCAATTGGATGGTCATGGGGGTAAGTTAGGGTTAGAGCTGAAGATGTCGCACGGTGGTGAGTGCATACTAGTATTGTGAAGTACCGTATTTTACCGGTTGTAAGTCGACCCCGGTTATAAGTCGACCCCCGTATCTGGAGGTCTCAATTCTGCGTTTTAGAGTTTTCACCCATCGAAGCATTGCTAACCACTCCCTGCCACTAACACATCAACAAATCAGGTAAACATTCCTTGTTGGAGGGTATACCGTCCCAATCCGTGAAAAATGCCAATAAACTGGCAAAAATGTGTACACATGGTGCACTCGTGCATGCAGTGCAGGTAATTTTTTGCAAGATACTGATAGTTCCCGGTTATAAGTCGAATCCCGGTTGTAAGTCGACCCCCACCCTTTCTCCTTCTATTTTTAGTCGTAAAAGGTCGACTTACAACCGGAAAAGTACGGTATCTCTAATGCTCTATCTCCTTTAAAAGCGGCCAAGGGAAGATGTGTTTCCAACGCATCACCGCCATAGCACATAGCAACCTATTGTTACTGGTTTCATTGATCTTATTCAGAGTACTTTGAAGTGCACTCACTGATTACTTCACTTATGCAGTTTGCGCACAAATCGACTACATACTGTTGCGCTCTGTGGCGGATCACACGCACACACATACTTCCCACCACAGCAAGAGGTCCCCTTGGAGTGCCAAAACTTCTTTTGGCAATTGTTTCGCTTAATTATTATAAGTGGCCTTATGATTAGGTGTACATGTATCCATTCATTAAATTCCAGGCACTACATACTCATGTCGGGGCCATTAGTGACAGTGTAGGAGTTGCATTTTAATAGAAAGTATATTTTTCGCAGTAAAAGAGTATTTATTTTTAGAGCTTGTGTGGATACAGATTCCTAGGTTCGAACCCCAAGATGGGCAGTTAGTTACATTTTGTGTCTCCTTGTGTATTTTGTATCTGCATGTTATTATAATAACCTTTCCGTGCGAGAGAAGAGTATTTATGTTTGTAGAGCTTGTGTGGATACAGATTCCTAGGTTCGAACCCCAAGTTGGGCAGTTAGTTACATTTTTTCTCTCCTTGCGTATTTGTATCTGCATGTTATTACCCTTTCCGTGAGTCGCTCGTGAGTAATGTATAAGTCGTGTATGGCTAAACCCGTATTTCCCCACTTTACCCGTATGACTGTTGTGAACTGTGATTGGCTGCTAGTATTATTGTTCCAGAATGTTCCAGAGCTGTGAACTGTGATTGGTTAATTATGCTAATGTTTCTAGAATTTCGTCGGCGACCGGTTTCCGTAGATTGCTGATTGGTTAATGACCTACAACATGGCTGCCGGTTGCCGGACTTTTGTTCCCTTGCTTTCTTCTTTCTTGTTGCCTTTCTATCTCTTTGCATTCTAAGTGTGTATAATATTTCTTTCCTGATAACTACTGGTAAACTACGACGTGAGTGTTTAACTGGAGTGAGCGTGATTGACTCCGGGGCCAGCTATTAGTGACAGCGTCAAAAAGCACAATCACAACGGCAAGTGTTGAGAACACTATGAAGAGTAGGCATGTTTTGATGTCTCATGACCAAATTTTCTTGTATTGTAGCACAGCTAGATTGAATCAAGTTGTTCACAGCAAGGACAGCACTCAACTCTCTCAAACCTCAACCAAAATGTTTTTGGTTGTGCTATACTCCCACTAACTTGCCCCTACAGATATGCAGCAACATCTTCGCCAGGTAACATCATCAGCTACAATCACATCCACCATATAGGAATGGGCGATCTGAGCGACATGGGATGTGTCTACTCCTTGGGTGTTCAGATTGGAGCACAGGTATGTTTCTGAACAAATCATATACTCCCATGCGATACCACTATTTGAGCTTGTCCTATACTCCCATGCTATACTATATGGTGAATGAGAGAGAGAGAGAGAGAGAGAGAGAGAGAGAGAGAGTAAGTTACATTTATAAAGACAGGTAAGTCTAACAAATGAGGACTGAGACCTCTACAACAGGGTTTTCACGCCTGAAAGCAGGTGCATGATTTAACAAGCAGGTTGTCAGTCTAGATTTTATGCGCAGATGGAGAAAAAAATGCGCAGAATTTTTGTAATGAGATGAAAAGCAGAAATAATAAGAAATAATAAGAAAAGATGAAATGAAAGCCTGCTCACAACCCCGCCCAGCCTTGCGAACTGGGTATGGTGGATTAAGAACCCGGTTCAACGCTCGAGCAAGCGCTCTCCACTCAAGGTGTTCACAGCAACTGATAGGAACTCATATGGGGAAATTATAGAAAAGAAATAATAAGATAAAGAGAAAGAACATGCTGTCCGCAGATTGAGTATTTCGCTCCTGCTCTTGTAGCAGTTGAGCACTCTTGCGTGGGGTAGTGCCTTTGCTGTTTGCGTTATGCAGAGCTCACTGACTTGTCAGTTTGAGCACTCTGGCAAGGTACGTTCGGGCCTGATTGGAAATTTTTATTTTCATTGCTATCAGGTTCGGCCTCATTTTCTCTGTGCTGCGCTGATGAGTTCAAAAAGAACGAAACAGCATGCTGTCCGCAGATTGAGTAAGATAAAGAGAATAAATTTCAACGCACCTCAATAAACGGAGCCCCACATACAGTACCTCAGAAAAGTGGATCTTCCGACCAGTGTTTTTGTTGACGTCGCAACCAGATGATGTAGCTGCTTCGCAGAGACGTCTTACTGCACAAATTACAAATAAATTTTATTCTTCGATTAGAAAACCCAAGCGCTTTCAGAGCCCTCCGAAGAGAGTCCGGGATGAAACTACGCACACCTACCTCAACCGAAAAAGAAACGACCTGCCACCCGTTTGCTCGGCGTTGATCGGCCAGATCCGCATACCGCCTGTCCTTCCGCGAGTTACTGACACTGAATCTGTCCTCAGCACAAACTGTCAACTCCATCCAGAATACAATCCTACGACTCGTAGAGTACAGAACTATATCTGGTCTTAGGGTGGTAAGTGCAACACAGCTAGGGAAAGAAATCTTTGCACTAACTGAGTCGACAAGAAGTTTCCAGTCTGAGGCCGCTGACAGGAGATCAGTCGTAACCAACTTTCGTCTGGGCTGAACGCGAACTGGCTTCTCTCCCGCCTTGCAAAACGAGATGAAGTCAAGCTCATTTGAATTTTCGGTTTGTATGGTGTTCGAGAGAGAGAGAGAGAGAGAGAGAGAGAGAGAGAGAGAGAGAGAGAGAGAGAGAGAGAGAGAGAGAGAGAGAGTAAGTTACATTTATAAAGACAGGTAAGTCTAACAAATGAGGACTGAGACCTCTACAACAGGGTTTTTACGCCTGAAAGCAGGTGCATGATTTAACAAGCAGGTTGTCAGTCTAGATTTTATGCGCAGATGGAGAAAAAGCGCAGAATTTTTGTAATGAGATGAAAAGCAGAAATAATAAGAAATAATAAGAAAAGATGAAATGAAAGCCTGCTCACAACCCCGCCCAGCCTTGCGAACTGGGTATGGTGGATTAAGAACCCGGTTCAACGCTCGAGCAAGCGCTCTCCACTCAAGGTGTTCACAGCAACTGATAGGAACTCATATGGGGAAATTATAGAAAAGAAATAATAAGATAAAGAGAATAAATTTCAACGCACCTCAATAAACGGAGCCCCACATACAGTACCTCAGAAAAGTGGATCTTCCGACGAGAGAGAGAGAGAGAGAGAGAGAGAGAGAGAGAGAGAGAGAGAGACAATGTGGCAGTTGGGATTTCGAACTACTTGTTAGTTTATGAAAGCTATGAAAGCATGGATGTGGTTAATGATATTTCAGCCTTTGGCCTCTGGTTGGTGGATCTGATCTACCCTCCCCCATCGTTTAGGAGCCGCATCTGACGCCTGATCATCGGGTGGTGGCGTCCTACGGAAGCGGAAATGCTTTTCTTGACCAATCCTGTACGCTAACCCGTGTAACGTTCTAATTTTTTAATGAAAGCTGCTACTTGCCCTCCTGACAATCCTATACTCGTGAAATCAGTGTAACCAACTCAGTGGGGTCCTTTTTGGTGCAAAATCTGCTCTGAGTTGTGTAGTCCCTGTTACTGCCGTTGGAATTTGATACTGTGTGTTCTATAGGTGGTACATAACTTATGTCATGATGTGTGGAGTTACGGCTATGGTGGATGGGGTTACTACACTGATGAAGGTAGCAGCAACATGACCTATGCTTATAATATTGCGTAAGTTGAGTCAAAGTTAATGCGTTCTCTCGTTCCTAGCTGTCTTCTCACTCAGTAATACTCCTTCCCAAATCAGACGTATGCACATTGTTATTAATAAAGCTGCAGGCAAGCCCATATTGCTCATATTACATTTCTTATTCGCAATCAATAAGACAAGCTGAATCGACATTTGTTCATGCAATGTAAAACAGTGGAGACAATGTGCAATAAAAGGATGAAAATGGAAAGAAATAGGGTAGAAAAAATTAGGATTCAAACAAGTTTTCGTACAGCACTCGCCATTTGTTTGGCGATATATCCTGGTGTATTACACCCCTGCAATAGAATTCTGGTGACTTGTTGGGTTCACTGGGGCTTTATGACAAACCCACATAAGATAATATCTGCGAATGGATCTCAATTTTATTTTCACTGTGTGCAGGTATCATACAAAAGCTGCTTGCTGGCATCAGGTAAGCTTGAGGTTGCTTTGGGCAGTTGTTGAGATTTGTAGCAGTGCCTGTGATTCTATCGTTGTTTCCGAGTCTATATTGGTCAGTAATTCAAAAATAGGCAGTTACTATTGCGATGTACATTGTTCTTTGCGTCTGCCTTGAATTATTCCAGCAGTGAGATGTTTTACATACCATGGCGCTGTTCTCTTTTTGTCATATCTGCATTTAGCATTATGGTGAAAACAACCAATTCATCAACAACATCTTTGCCTACCCACATCACATACCATGCCCAGATAAAACTGGAGGCTTTTGGTGAGTGCTCATATCCCTTTCCAATATTCCTGCCACTGCTTATGCAGTCGAGATCCATGGCCAACAGCAACTAACCTATCTAGCATCAGCTATCGTTTTACATACTTTGCTTGCAAGCTACATGTATCTGCACCCCCCCCCCCTCTCTCCCTCTTTTAATGACGTTATTTGTGATATTATTCAAGCGATATAACTGGTTGCTTTAGTGATTCCTACCATGTGACGATGTTCCATTGGTGATGGTCACGAGAAAACGTTCTGGAATTTTTTCATTTTAATAATTGTTTTATACATGTAGAAGAGAAAAGGACATATGGATACGAGTTAAGAGTAACTCTCCATCACTGTAACATGATACTTTATACAGTCAGAAAGTGACTGTATAAAGTATCATGTTACAGTGATGGAGAGTTACTCTTAACTCGTATCCATATGTCCTTTTCTCTTCTACATTTATTTATGGCTCAACATCCGAGTTTCATGTTTTATACATGGTTATGAATGTAGAAAGGAAAAGAACAAATGGAACAGAACATGGTTATGAGTGCACAATTAATTAAATTCATTTCTATTTTACGATTATTGTCTCCTCGTCGGTTATTCTCTCTCTTTTACTTGAGTATAGGAATCCAGGCCAGGGAACAGTGAGTACATTATAGTGGGCCATTCCGAGGCATTTTATTCCTCTGATCTCTATTCATTGTTACACTCTATTCGTTCCGCTTTTGTAGCTACGACAGTGCTATAAAGTCCTCCCGGCATCCAGCTGGATCGGGACCTGGAGCCTTCACATCATTCAACTTCGAGAGGAATATTGTGAGTACTTATCTTACCCACTGGTTTGAGGGTAAAGCACAAACAGGAAATGTCTGAAGAAAAAATTGACTGGCACCACCAGGACTCAAACCAGGGATCCTCGCTTGAGGCCAGCGATGCTTACCCACTGAGCTATAGTGTAGCTGTCATCTTTCCCTTCTTTTATCACCCCCCCCCCCCCCCTCTCACGTGACCGCGGACTCCTGCATATACACTCACACAATAACCACACAACTGTCTGGGGATAGCGTGCTTCTTGTATTATTCTAAACTTGATATGCTGAGTCCAGCTTGACTCAACTGAGTCCCTAACTGTTAAGAGCGAAAAGAAAAAAAATTCTGGCCTTCTGCAAGCAATAACAAGTAATGAGTGCCGGCTGTGTAAAGTCGCACAACCATGCAGTCGTCCGGATGATGGTGAGTTTCCTTCACACATCTTGCCCTGCTGCTCCACCTGCGCATACCTGATACGGTGGTGCGCTTACGGGCTGCCTGGGCCCCAGACGCCTCCCTGATGCGCCACGGGGTGCAGTCAAAGCACCTGTATCACTTCGGTGATCCAAAAGCGAATGCAGCCTTGCCGGTCGCCGGCCTACCGCCTACGTGACCAGCCTGAGACTGGCCCTGCCGCATTTGGTGCTTCTAAACGCTGCGATCCGGTAGACAGCTCACTGGGCTGCCAAATACGTGACTAGCTTGAGGACAGTTCCATACTGCATGGCAGGGCGCCCACCTCAGGTCGCACACGGTAGCGGCGTGAGGGTTGGTGATAACTACAGTTTCCTCCTTCCTCCTCCGGATACTTCCATTTTTAGTTCCTGGAAAAACATTTATCTTGTTTTCGGTGCATAATGAATATCTCTCATGTGGAAATGTTCATAGTACGGCATGGAATGAAGAGCGGTGATTTAGTTTCTCTACAGTCCTGCGGCCTCTAATTCAGCTTGCCCATGACCCCTGTTCATGCACATGGGGATGTGCTTGTGCTGAGGTTTTGATACGAGAATCTGCATTTCCCATTGTCCACCTGTGTATTTCTGGGCCTTTCCTTAAGTAACCACCGTATCACTCTGCATATTCCGATTCCAGATCTACATCTCCAATGGAACATTGATGTCTGCATCGAACCCTCAAGATCTTCTATTTTCCAACCAGACATTTGACAACAACGTTTATTGGAACACCGTCAGCCATACTGACGTGCTTTTCCCTCCAAACTCCAAGTCTACTTTCGCACAGGTAAATTTTGATTTGTAATTGCCGCAAGTTTACACCCGTAGTCATAACAACTACTTTCCATAGCTTTTTGGTGCTGATTTACAAAGGAGAATGGGCATTGTGAGCCGAACCTAGACATAGAGGCAGGCAATAGTGCTCAAATGCCTGTAATAGGCAGAGCGTAGTACGCAAGAGGTACACAAAAGGAAGTAAAATAGGGCTGTTTTGTTGTTTCTGAGAGTATCCTGAAACTCCTAGTAACAACGAAACAGCCCTATTTTACTTCCTTTTGTGTACCTCGTGAGCCAAACCTATGAAGCCAGCTTATCAGATTTTGCATTTTGTACTCCTAGAGGTAAATTATCCCCAGTATTTCCACCAGATGCATCCATCTGAAAGTGGCAGTCACAATGTTTACATTGGAATGCTGTGCTTAGTGAAATTCTAGCTAGTGTTTTTCTTCGGCACTCCGACAGTACTGGTTTTCACTTTCTTGACTGCGTGCATGTGCATCTGTGTGTGCATGTGTGCATGTGCGTATGTGTGCATGTGTGCATGTGCATGTGCGTCTGTGTGCATGTGTGTGTGTGTGTGTGTGTGCCTGGGTTTATGTGCGTGCATGCACCTGTGTGTGTGTGTGTGTGTGTGTGTGCCTGTGTGTGTGTATGTGTGTGTGTGTGTGTGTGTGTGTGTGTGTTTGCGCTGACTCGTATCCCATGCAGTGGCAATCACATGGCAAGGACAAGAACAGTGTCATTGCCGATCCTCTCTTCCTCAAAGCATCATCGTTTGATTTCAGCAAACTTTCAAAGGACTCGCCTGCTCTGAAACTGGGATTTAAACCTATTGATACCTCCACAATCGGACCAAGGACATAGCAATGCTCCAAACTGCACTTGCCATGCGATTACCCTGATATTTCCTTCCCACTATAGAATGTAATCATTATGTGTCCTGCTGCATTACAAATCAGATTTTTCCTGAGAAAACCGAATACTTCTTCCTTTCTTGTTGATCCTTGCCAAGAAATGTGTGAAAAACACAGTAACATTATCACGCTTGCGGGTAGTGCCGCCTGACCGCAAAATTTCTCGTTTATTTCCAACGAGAAATAAACACATTTTTTGAAATTTCCTACCATCACTTTCCTGAAGCAAAACTAGAAAAAAATCACATTATGTTGGACTTGGGTTGAGAGCGAAAGATTAATTTATAAGAAGAAAAGATACAAAAGCTACAAGTTACGCTGCGTTATCTCATGAGCTGATTGTTATTGGACGCTATAGTGTAACTTTTAGCTCTTTGGTCCTCTTTTCTTCCTATACTTACCGTACTTCCCCACATATAAGCGCATGCGCTTATAAGCGAAAATTTGCTGCAAAAAAGATCTTTGGCTGTGTAAACATGTTCGGGTAGAAGCCCATGCGCTTATATGCGCAATACAGGTTTGTCTGTGTCTTAAACAATGGTGTCATCACACTACTTAGTGGTATATTTCGCCCCCGCCTTTTCACCAATAGTGTTCACATGTAAGCGCATGCGCTTATAATTGAGGGGTGCGCTTATATCCGGACATAAGCACATGCGCTTATATGTGCGGAAGTACGGTATACATCATTCCCGTAGCTATGCAGAAGACATTACTTCAGTAATGTCTGGCGCTAGCCAGGGTCCACACAGCTTTAATTTGGTATTTGTTTGTGTGTTTGTGTCACGCCTGGCGTCCCGTACCGTACCATCAAACACAGCTGGCCACCAACAGCTGGCCACAATATTCAAATAGGACTTTCAAACGCAAGATCATAACGTGAAGCAACTCGGAAGAATGAGTATGAATGCGAAGTGTATTGGGGAATGCATGTAGGGCGATAGCGCGGGTTCGAATCCCAGGTTATGCCTAAAAAAATAGGAGAATTAAAAAATTTATAACATCCCTATGCTTTTTTTGCCTCAGAGGTCATCAAGGTGGTAGACGGTGTCGTATTACCCTCGACCGTATCTGTCCCGAACCGTACCATCAAAGACGACTGGCCGGCCACAAACAGCTGGCCACGATATTCAAATAGGGCTTTCAAATGCAAGATCATAACGTGAAGCAACTTGGAAGGATTAGTATGTATGCGAAGTGTATCGGGGATGCATGCAGGGCGATAGTGCGGGTTCGAATCCCAGGTTATGTCTTGAAAAAAATAAGAGAAGTGAAAAATTTATTTTTGCCTAGGTCGTCAAGGCAAAAAAGCATAGCGTAGGGCCCCGAGCTTCCAAGCTCTCTCGTTATGTGGCTGCAATTCATTTGGTACTAGCCTCGGAATCATGCCAGAAGCCAGAGGTAAACACAACGCTGACCTGCAATCTTAAAAGAGAACAGGGCTGTAGTGGTTCTACAAACGCACCAAAGACATCTTGTAACTAGCTTCGTTACTACAAATCACAAGTGTGTGGGAATACAGAGAACGACAGAGAGATCAAAGGAAAAGCCAGGCAGGCAAGTACAGCTAAATTGTCAGTGCATCCACTACAAGGGCCAAAGAGAAATAAAACCAGGACTACTTTAAGTTGAAAAGGGCCTACACTGCTGGTGTGCTCCATAGGTAAACACATTCCCAGTACAGTGGGATGATAGAAAGCAAAATTGCGACCATGCATGCACGTGCAAAACAATATGATACACATGTACATTAGATTTCTCAACCATACTGACAGTTTGTTCACATTATCCTTAGTACTTTTCAAGTAGTTCAGGATGTTCAACGGATGGTTCTCTATGGCTGAGAATCCTCGGCATAGGAGATGCAAAGGTTGGCGACATCCGTGCGTCCACTTGGTCCACGATCAAGGTCATGCAGCAGTCGTACACCATCTGAAGCTGCTTCCGTAGAGAGACTAGCACCATTTATCGCCCGAACTGTGACAAACACGAAATCACTTAACTTGCTCAATGCTGAAGAGGAGATCTCAGCTGACTGATTCAGGCCAGCAGACGCCCATCCATTAATGTCGTCAGAGTAAGGTTGTGAGCCAATGGCCCACTCGTATGCAACGATATAGCTCTCTGTATCCGTGAAGCCACTCCACTGAGCAGCTAACGGTACGGTTGAATCCTGGCAGTCGATGTCAGACATTCCATGCCCATCGATCACGTGACCTTTCTCTGGTGGGCTGTTGTCAATGATGACTACAGATGATGATGTCATCACCGAGAACAAACCGGCTGCATTAGTGATCTTGACGTTAGCTACTGCTGAGGTAGTTCCTGATAGCTTTTCCGGGTTGAACTGCTGGTTGAAAGACGTGATCAGTCCAGTTGATGTCCATTGCTCTACATCACAACGCTCTGCTGCACTGCCAAGACAAATACTGTAATCTGCTATGGGACTTTCCAGATCAGTTGCATTCTCCCAGCTCACATCTAATGAACCGTTCGCAGTCAAGTACACAGCCTGATCAGTTGTCTGATTGTTCAGCGTAATCACTGATGTTATTGGTGGTGTGTTGTCAACTGTAACTCCATCAGAGGTGAACCATGATACTTTTCCAGCACCATTTTCAGCTCGTACTGTGGTGAAGTACACCATACCACCACCCTCTATCAGACACAAAGGTGGTCCACATGAAGCAGAAGTATTCGTACCAGCAGCGGTGTAGTTCAAGATCTGAGTTCCACCTGGGCTTGTGCCAATAGCAAAATGGAATTCTTCAATGCCACTATCCAGATCTGTGATGGTCTCCCAATGAGCCTCGATCAAAGTTGTACTGTTCGTGTAGTTCATATCGTAGGTGCCTGGTGGTCCATCTAGTACTGCGCCTATCGACGGCGCAGTACTATCGAACACCAATGGTTTGCTTTTCACCTGCGTCGTTAAGCCGACACCATTGCGTGCCGTCACTGTTGCCTGATACAGCTCACCATCAGTTGTGTTGGAGACTGGAAGTGTAAATGATGCATTCACCCGTACACTGTTCACCAGCGCCACCATCTGTGTGCTGTTGTCGTGAAGGACAATGTCGAAATTTGCAAGACCAGATTCTGGATCCTTGAAACCACTGCAGGTTATGCGCAGTGCTGGCATATCATCCTGAATCGTAGCCCATGTGACGCTGACAGCTCCCGGTAAAGGCGGTGTAATATCAACTACAAATCCGCTCGAGCTCCTCTTACTTTCCAGACCAGCACCATTCTTGCAAGCAATGTGTGTAAAGAGTGTCTCACCAGAGGGTAGGGTGACATTGGGAGTCAGAGGTGACTCGTTCACGCCAGTGTTTTCCCTTTCCCAGAGTACAGAGTCATTTTCCGTTCTGATTGATAATGAGCAGGAGTCTATACCGGACTGTTGATCCGCATAGCCATTCCAGTACAGAGATGGTGCACTGGGACCAAGGTGATACACAACAAGGTACTGTTGCTTGTCAGAGCCTTCCTGTACATAGCCTTGAGTGGGAGGCGAAGAGTCGAGCATGATACCATCGGAGGATATCGTCGTTACCAATCCTGCCTTGTTGATAGCCTGCACTGTCACAATGTACTTCACTCCAGAGACCAGTTTGCATGTGTGGCATGTGCCAGCTGTTGCAGAACCAACCGAGCGATAGGCCATCATTTCCTCCCTGTCGTTGCTATGTCCGATGCACCAGCGATATGTTAAAGAGCTCTCCGAGTCATGGAATCCCGACCATATGGCGGAAATAACTCTCGACATCGGTGTGTAGTCCACATCCACACCAGTCTCTCCATCATTGACGTTTCCTGCTATCGGAGGAGTGGTGTCTATGAATGTTTTGCAATTCATTCTCGTGCTGAGATCATCAGAGTTTGTTGCCTCCAGGTACATGGTGTATGCCTGTCCACCAACTAGAGCAAGTGCCGAAGACTGCAGTATGCCCTGCTCCTGATCAATACCCTGAGCGGTCCATGACATTATGTCTTGCAGCGCATTGAGACCAACACACCAGCGAAGCCTGATGGATGTTTGAGGATCCTTGATTCCAGAGAACGATGCCCGTAGCGCGGACACATTGCTGCTGAATGCACTGCACGTTAGTGAGGAGATGGAAGGCGGTGTGATATCAACGATTACAGACTTGGTGACACTGAGATTGGCATAGTCTGTGCACGTGATATCCAATGTTAGTCTCGTGAACTGATCATCACTGGAACTACCTCCAAAGGGAATAGGAACTTGAAATGAGCAGTTTGAGCAATCGCAACCTGTCGAACTGGTATTGATGAGAGTCGAATGGTTCATCAAGGCCCAGTTGCATGATTTGATACCTGTCTCGCGGTCATAGAAGTTGGAACATTTGACTTTGGCACGTGAAGTCCTTACATCCCTGCAAGTGACAGAACCAGGCGTTGGTGGTGTAGTATCCAAAATCAGAACGGATGTTGCCATTGAGGACTTCAGTTTTGCACTGTTGATTGCGCGTACAGTTATATAGTACTTTTCTCCAGCGGTGATACTGCAATTAGAGCAGGTTGCATTCAGAACGTTGCCAATATACGTGCTGTCCAAAACCTGACACCCACCGGAATTCACACCAATTGACCACGCGTACCCGTCAATGCCACTCTCCTTGTCAATGGCTGCCGGCCATGACGCCGAAATGCTGTTGAGTGCTAGTTGAAACGTAGCAAGCACTGGCCCACTCAGACCAGGCGGTGAAGTGTCAATGGTGACTTGCTGTGATGCCATGGTTGTGTTGAGTCCAGCACCATTTGTACAAGTCACTGTCACCATGTATGTACCTTGATCTACCATTGCTAAGCCACTGGCTGTGGCTTCAAGATTTAGACCCACGTTTGCACTGGCCAGAACACTGTAAGGATCAGTTGTTGTTCCAATAGCCCATTCGTATCCAGTAATGCCCGACTCTGTATCCACACATGCACTCCATGAAGCAGTGAGTCTCGTCGTGCTGGACCAGTACTGTTGTGCTTGGACACGACTGGAAGCTGGTGGAGTGTCATCGACTATTGTCGACGGTGATACCTTTGCAGATGACATTCCAAACCCATTGAGACATGAGACTCTGCATTGTAGTGCCTCACCTGTCTTGGGTGCAGTGTGAAGTTGCACAATTAGCGATGTTGAATTGTTATCTTCACTTGCACTACCCAGCAAAGCAGAGCTGTTGACGTTGATGATATCAGCAGTACACTTCCCGACACCACTTTCATGGTCAATAGGCTGGGACCAAGTGCATGGTACATAGCTAGTGTTCTTCACGTAGAGCATGTTCTGGTGTGTGTTTTTGCCAATTACCACATACTGTACGCTTGGGGGTGTGCCATCATACAGCACAGGGCTAGTACACCGTTGCGTGTGCTGTCCCGCACGATTGCGGGCCACCACACTACCGTAGTACACTTGTCCCGTGATGAGGGTAAGATTGGCCTGGGATTGTGTCGTCACGTTTGCTGCGTTGATGTAGCCGAGGAGCTGATTGCCGTTGCAGGAGACACCCAGTGACCATTGGTAATACCAAATACCACTCACATTGTCGGCGACTCCAGGCCACTTTAATGTGGCTACGGAACCTTGCAGAGTTAAGACAGGTTTCTGTTGAAAAACTGGAGAGCTGTCGTCTATTGTTATTCCAACACTTCGACTGCTAATGTTGGATCCAGCAGTGTTGATAGCCTCTACAGATACAACATATGTCTGACCGCTTTGCAGATTCAGGTTTGTTACTTCTGTTGATAAGGCAAGCCCAACGTCAGTGAATGGCTGGATATATGTAGGATCCGATGTCGTACCAATCGCCAATTTGAAGCCAGCAATGTCACTGTGGATATCTTCAAATGCTGACCAACGCGCAGCCAGAGTGGATGTGTTGGACTGGAATAAACGACCTGCCAACCCAGTCCCAGTTAGGATGATACCCTTGGTCGGAGCTGTTTGGTCTATCAGTACTCCATCTGTTGAGATGCATGTGGAAATGTTGGCATTGTTTACTGCGCACACTGTGACGTAGTACTCATTCAGGTCTGACAGGGAAAGAGATGTTAGTGTATAGGAGGACAGAGATGAATTTAGTCTCACCGCAGACTTTACATTGGTTGATCCTTGCGCTGTCCCTGCCGCCATTGTTAAGTGTGATACGCCTGACTGGAAGTCGGAAGATTTCGACCAGGTCGCAGTGAGCTGGGTATGATCATTTTGATGATCGCGGTCTCGAGAAAGATGAGATCCATCAACAATAACAAAGCCATCTGGTGGGGTGATATCCACCAGAACACCGTCTGACCAAGCTACTGAAGACAAGCCTGCTTTGTTGACTGCTCTGACTTGCATGCAGTAGCGTACGGATGTTGTCACTGCCACAATTCCACTGCTTTCTGTGTTGCTACCAGCATCGAAATCACTGGGATTCAGAAGGATGCTGTGGCCGCAGTACGCATAATTCCAGTAGTATTTTCGAATTCCACTCTGTGCGTCTGTAAATCCTGCCCATCGAAGGTTGAACTGTGTGTTAGTTGATGTATAGTTGGCATCATCCGTGGAAGCACAACCATCGCTGCACAAATCAATCACTTGCCCGGATACTGGTGGGCTTGTATCGATGGTTACACCGTCACTGGATACAGTTGTTGTTCGACCGACTTTGCTCGTGCAGCTTACCACAGCATAGTAGCGAACTCCACTCGTCAGCTTCAGACCTGGAACTATGGCTTTTGTTGTAAGTCCATATGGCCTTGCAGTGGCTACATCGTATTTTCCTGGAGCTGTGCCAATTCCCCAGGTGTAAGAGGCGATACCACTCAATGCAGTGAAGCCTTGCCACCTGCTGCGCAATTGAGTTGAATACATTTGATAATCAATGTCTACCAGCGTTCCTGTTGTCACATCAACGTCGAGAACAGTACCTCCGGCTGGTGGCTGTGCATCTATTGTGACTCCATTCGAACATCCAGTGGCGGAGTTCCCGGCATTGTCCACAGCCTTCACACATACAATATACTTTGTTGCATGGGACAATTGTAGCCCGGTTGCAGTGGCATTTGTTTTCCTCCCAACACCAGTGTACGGATAGACAAGCTTTGTTGCTTTGTCATTCTGGAGAATAGACCATTCGAAATGGTGAATACCGAGTCCTGCATCATTAAAGCCCTTCCAGTTTGCACTCAAGATCGAGGTGCTACTCTGGTACATTGCATCCCCAACTAGGCCGTCATTCACCGTGCCTGATCGAGGAGCTGTGTAATCGACAACAAACTCCTGGCTCGTTGAAGACACCAGGTCTGCCTGATTTGTCACTCGAATCTGCAGTGTATAGATATGGTTGTCCAAGAATCCCTTAGATGAAGTGATCTTGTCTGACGGTTGGGTGATGTGAGTTGTGCAAGGAAACGCGGAACACACAAACATCTTATATCCTTGGCTAGAACACACTGCCACGGTGGATGTTGTATCACAAATCTGCCACTCCAGTACTTTCAGTCCACTTTGAGTATCTCTCGTGTTGGCCAGCTGAAATTTTAAGTCCAGCGTAACGGTGTTGAGAACGCGGTCGGAGTTGGAAAGACTTGAGGGCAGATTTATTGACAGTTGACCAGTTTCTGGTGATGAATCATCAGCCGTTATTCCATCGGATGAAAACTTGGACAGCAATCCGGCTCTGTTGGCAACTTGCAGTGTACAGTAGTATTTCGTACCGCTTACCAGAGTGAGTCCTGCTGCTTTACATTGTCCAGTGCTAAGATCAACAGTAGCACATTGGTGACCAGATAGTATATTGCCAGTACCAGCCAGTGTTCCTATGGACATTCTGTAACTTGTCAGGTCAATGCCGCTTTCAAGATCTTTGATTTCCGAAACGGGCCAGTGAATGCTCAGAGACACCATATTCGACTGATAATCGTTGTCTTCATATTGAATCTTGGTAGCTGGCTTTGCCCCATCATAAATTACACCAGTTAATGTCGGTGGTGTTGAGTCAACTAGGAATGGAAGTGATACTGAGCTCAGCGTATTGAGCCGTACATTGCTGGCCGCAATTCGAAACCTGTAGACATTGTTTTGAACCAGAGGTGCATTCACTGGTATTTGGACTGCAGCGCCACTGGCAGATTGAGTAGTGATGGACGTTTTGCCATCCGACAGTGTCAGTACACTGCCGCCAGCGGGAACATCAAAGTTGCTTTTTAAGTGGTAGAGTTGCACAGTGTATGTAACTTTGTCACAAGGTACGGTGTACTTCTGCAGCAATAGCTGTATGGATGTCGTACTGGACACGAAACCACCACTGACCGAGCCAAGGTGAAAATGGTTGATAGGTCCTAAGGGAAGATTAGAGCCATCACTTGCCTGTTGTAAGGTGATTGATCCAAGAACGATTGGTGTTCCAGTCAGTAGCTTCAGAGATGTGTGTGCACACGCGGCCAATGTGCCAGTACAGGATGTGTCCGGGTGGTCACATTGATCTTTCTGATGATAGCAAGTAGTCGATGTTCCGTAGTACGTTACCACACAGCCAAGCGGGGAAGGCGCATTTCCATTGCAGGTATTCTTGGCCATACACGGACCAACAATAGGACAGCTGTAGCCAGTACCGGCACATACTCCACTTGTGCATCTATCCTGGTAAGTGCAGAGATTACCATCGTCACACGTTCTTCCATCTGCCATTCTAGACCACCCGTAAGGATTCAGGCCAAAGTTGCACTGGTGGCACTTCTTTCCAGGCTGAGGAGTGCGGTCAGCGTAGCAGCGTCCCCCGATCCAGCATCCACATTTGCCGTTGATAGCACATCCCTTGACATTAGCACAGTAACCTGATGCACTGCAGGCCTGGCAAGGTGATACACATTCATGTTTGTAGTTGTATCCTGGCTGACATTGACCATGCTGGTTACAAATGTCTCTCCGCGTACAAATGTCTCCGTCAGAGCAGGTTGTGCCATAAGGTCGATTTGTCCAGCCAGTAGATCCACCCCATGATGAAGAGCAGTACTGTGAAATGACGAGAGAAACATATATCACAATGAATGACTCGCCTAGTCAAGCTGAACACTGCATTCCAAAACTTCCAATGCATCATTCTAAGATGTTCCTTATTAGGTCAAGTAAAAAATTGATTGTTTATCGCCCGCGACCGCCCCGAATTTTCACCCTACCGGCCAAATTATTTTATTATTTAGTACTGGTAAATGTATTGTATGTACTGCAGTCTACAGCCTCTAATCAGCATGGCCGTAGATTTTCGAAGGTCAAGTCCACAGACTGAACCACAACTTAGTTGCTATGGGCTTGAAAAGTGAAATTGATTATCAGCCGCCTGATTTTCTTCATTTTTTCCGTTCGTTGTTGCACTTTTCCATATTAGAATCTTCAAAAGGGTCTTTCAAGATGTTATTCATGGCTGATGACTCATCTGCATCACATGGATTTATCTCACTCTGCGCCAAAATGGCTTCAAAACAAATAAAAAACGAAGTAAAAGGCGTGTCTGGGGTTGCAAACACAAACCCTACAGCCATACATACAAAATAAAAAATAAAATAAAAAACTCCCGTCCGCCCCGATTTCTCGGCGGGAAAAGCTGACGATAAACAATCAATACAGTCAGACGTCGCACAACCTCACACTGCATCCGTTTTCCACAAAGAATATCCGGATAGGCGAGGGAACCGGATAATCGAACAAACATACTGTATGTATGCATGGCATATGTTGTAAATCGGTAACCAGCGATTTTCTTCCGGATGGCGAGGGATCCGGATAAAAGAGGACCGGATAAGCGAGGTCTGACTGTATAATTTACATGCCCTTAATCCACGGTCATGAATTACCGTACTCAAGCCATTAGTGCCCACGCCTGTTTTTTCAAAGTCCATCACTTGCGGGGCATTATTCAAGAGAGGGCACAATTTTTCAATGCTAATACATTTACGTCAGCCAGCATAAACACAAAGAAATAAAAGAAGAACAGAGTGCTAGTTTACTCTAACTTTTTTTTAGTTAGCAGTGCTGCCAACCTGCTGAGTCTGATTTGCGTACTCGGACTGCTCAATTTCCGTATTTTCCAGACGGTTTTCCGTACTACATGTACCAATTGTTTTTTAATCCCATGATTTATAATTTATTTTTTGCGACATTTGAAACGCGGCCTTGTCACTGTCTGAGGCTCGAGGGTGCGGTCAGGAACACTGGTTTTAGCGTGACACTGATAGCCCCCTACTCCGCAGTTTTATGTAATGTGCTCTGCATGCAATTACATGTATGTACATAGTACATCTACATGTAGAAAAACTGGTTCATAGTCACCTGATCCATACTTCTCAGTTTTCCGTACAATTTCGGTCAATTTCCGTACTGCGGACAAAGGAGTGAATTTCCGTACAAATGCGGAAAAATACGGAAGTTTGGCAGCACTGCTCTAGTGTGAACTAATGGCGAGTGAGTGGAATTCCGGAACTACATTTAGGCTGCTGAGTATACAGAAGAACCAGTTATGTGCACTTTTGTTTACAGAGTGAGTCAATAGTGCATCGCTATAGTGCATCGCTATAGTGCATCGCTATAGTGCATCGCTATAGTGCATCGCTATAGTGCATCGCTATAGTGCATCGCGATAGTGCATCGCGATAGTGCATCGCTATAGTGCATCGCTATAGTGAATCGCTATAGTGAATCGCTATAGTGCATCGCTATGCCGCGACTTTGCTAAAGCATCTCAAATCATGATGTAATCGCAAAACATCACCAAGTTGCCGGAGTATAGTGCCCCCATACTCTATAGGTACCAGTAGCATAGGTACTGTTGCACGTGCATTATTGATCAAATTTTATCCATGGTAGCACCATAATTCTGTCTTTAGAATCGAAATATTTCCCAAATCTAGACTGTTAAAAAAGGGGATATGCATTATACTCAGGTGCGTGTTACACTCGGGCAAATACGGTATACCGGTATGTCTGCATTCTATTCTACCAACTCTACCCACTTCACAACGAAAAACGTGACTCGTATAGATGAATGTACATGATATTGTTATCTATCCAGAGATACTTCTTTTTACATACCTGACACTGAGGAGATTGGCTGTTGGTATTTCCATTATTGTAGCAACTTCCTTGAATTCTACACCGGAATGCATTGACATTACAACCACCAGCTCCGTTGCAGCTTTCACATGATGAGCAACTGTATCGCGTACCTGAGCAGGAGCCGCTTCGACACACATCGCTCTTTGTGCAGGAGTCACGGTCATTACAGCTCGCACCGGACTGTGCTTGCCAGGAATTGCGCGTCCATGTATACCATGCATTGCAGGTCTGCAACATGCACATACACACACACACACCACACACCATTGACCATTTGACGCCCATCGCCGGAGGTGAAGATAGCGATGCCACAGCAGAAGCCATAGAAGCTTGTGCTGGGATTGCACCATTCAACAGCTTGCAAGGCTGAAGAATTGACCACCACTATTCAGCCTGGTCTACACCACACAGCTACATTTGTATGAAGTGGCTTTTTCTGGTCAGTGAATCCCTACTTTTTGGTCTTTTTCATTTTTTTCCCGCACACACATCACACCACATACTCCGGCATTCACTGGTTGTTGGTAACCACCCAGGAGAATGAAAGAAAAGTCAGGAGGAGTCTGAGAAAGAGACGTGTGTGACCATAATCGTCGGGAATCAAACCCGCAACTTCTTGATTGGAAATCGCTGCACATACCACTGCGCCATATGGGACACACACACACACACACACACACACACACACACACACACACACACACCTCAGACCTCAGACCTGCCCATCGCAGAAGCGATGATAGCGAACAGCTATGTTAGACATAGCAACTTGTGCTGGGATTACACCATTCAACAGCTTGCAAGGCTGATGAATTGACCGCCACTATTTTTAGCCTGGTATCCACCACACAGCTGATTGAAGTGACTTTTTCTGGCCAGTGAATCCCTATTTTTCATTTTTTCATTTTTTCATTTTTCCCACATACACACACTCATGCACACACATACACACACACATACACACACTTGTACTTGTTGCTTACTGCTAAAACTGGTCACGTGGGTCTCCCTGGGGGAGGGGAGAGAGACTCAAAAGGAATCTTGGAAAGATGACTCAATTGGCTATTGAACCGCCCAACGGCCGACACCCCCTGAAATCCCCAAAACTCTGGGTGGACTTGAAAATGATCCCACTTATGGGCTCACCACACCTCAGCAAGTGGGTGAGGACAAGGTGCAGAAAAAGGATTGACGGCATCAGGGTATCCGTCCAGGGAGCCAACTGCAGGTACCCCTGCCCCCAGTGAAGGTAATACTTGCTACTAGTGTGGGTGGCTAAATCAGAGTGGATCTGATATAAGCTTCACTAGCACCATTGATTACACAAGAGTTAAAGGGAAACTGAACGCCAAAAATAAGTATGGCTTATCCGAAGGAGAATTGGGCACTGATTCCGATGAGCTATGTCTCGAGCCGATCAGAGGAGAGGAACTGTGTCAAATTTCATAAATAACACCTCCCATATTTGGAAATTGGCCTTGATGACGTGCGTACTGCTTAGCTGTCACCATGCTGTGCATGTTCAGCAGTGTAATTGAATGGAAGAAAACAATTACTTTGGTGTTTTGCAGCTCTGTTTCGTTCCCTGACGGTAACCAAATCTAGATGTAGGAATCTGTTGAGCAGGAGAGTGACACATGTCTTCCCGAAGGCTGTCCAGGCTGCAGTGGTGATGAAGAAGACACGATCATCACCCCGAGATCGATCGTAGCGAATTGGAAAACTCATGGTGAATTTGCTTCCACTCCAAGGCAATGTCGAGGTATGAAGGGTGCTTGTACTGCCTTCCAAAGTGAAGAGGAGATGAACATTGCTTTGCATAGCTGTTGCTCTATGCCAACTTACCTACTCTTGCTGGTACCGTAGTGGCATATTGCAAATTTCGTGGACGAACAACTCTAGTCACTAGTGGCTAGTGAGCAACACTAACAGGTGAGATTTTTCAATTCGACAAAAATTGTTTTTGTTTGAGAACTGACAGTGGCAGTCATTAGACTCAGTAGGTGTCTCTCTGCTGCTTCTTTCCCTTCATCGGTAGGGTTGTGCTTGAAGTAAAAATAAATAGAAAATGTGGAACAAAAATCTGATCATGTAATTCGAATTTGAACTTCAAAGTATGTGTACATCAAATCACAAAAATGACTGTCAAGGTTGTGCTGTGCATTGAAAAAGACTGGGAGCTGGCAGCAATGGAAAGGGTAGAAACGAAACCAGTAATGCAGAGTATTCATAAGGTAGAGGGAGATGAAAACGGGAGAGGAGTAGTGAGCACTTCAGTTTGAAGTAGTGTCAATAGACAGCATCGTGTTGCATACGTTGTGAATATTGTGTGAATCTAATAATTGTCACGAAATTGATATCCAAAATTATTATCCCCTGAGTAGTATTATGGTGTTCTCCTGTGTTTACATGCAGAGCCTTGACGTTGCTGGACGAGCGACAATATAAATTACATAAACAGTATTTCGGAGTATTTCGCTCCTGCTCTTGTAGCAGTTGAGCACTCTTGCGTGGGGTAGTGCCTTTGCTGTTTGCTGTATGCAGAGCTCACTGACTTGTCAGTTTGAGCACTCTGGCAAGGTACGTTCGGGCCTGATTGGAAATTTTTATTTCCATTGCTATCAGGTTCGGCCTCATTTCCTCTGTGCTGCGCTGATGAGTCCACAAAGGACGAAACAGTTCTGTCCGCAGATTGAGTATTTCGCTCCTGCTCTTGTAGCAGTTGAGCACTCTTGCGTGGGGTAGTGCCTTTGCTGTTTGCTTTATGCAGAGCTCACTGACTTGTCAGTTTGAGCACTCTGGCAAGGTACGTTCGGGCCTGATTGGAAATTTTTATTTCCATTGCTATCAGGTTCGGCCTCATTTCCTCTGTGCTGCGCTGATGAGTCCACAAAGGACGAAACAGTTCTGTCCGCAGATTGAGTAAATTACATAAACATGTAGCTCGTGATGTGGGATGACTGCCGTATCGCATTGCCAACGCAAACCCATCCTGTGTCAGTGCAGCCATCCAGCAACTTGAACTCCCCGGACCAGATGCCGCTGCAGCTGAACACCATGCCGATGGAAAGCCAGGAGTTGATAGCGAAGCATTCTGGTCTGCACAGTACAAGGCAAAGAACAATTATGAATTATAATGCATTGTAATCTTTCCCACACTTCTTTGTAAAAACAAACAAACAGTGCCATTATCACAACACTTGATCAAGCATCTTGATGGAGGTATTTTCCATTGTGCTGGCTCAGCATCTGCACCAGGAAGACCATGTACACTTACACGTATCTTGTGTGTGTGTGTTCGTGCGTGTGTGTTTGTGTATCTGTATGTGCACACGTGTGTATGGGGGGGGGGCACACACATGTGTATGGGTAGGAGTGTGTGTGTGGGGGGGGGGGGGGTACACACACATGTGTATGGATGTGCGCGCGGCATGCGTGTGTCTGTGGGATGGGGTGGGGGTGCACGCACATGTGTACATGTGTGTGCGCAATACAGCATGTGTGTGTATGTGTTCGTTGAACACAGGGTGTACTCCTGATTACATAAACTTCGTGATCATTGTGATTTCACGTGCTTTGAAGTTGAACTTCGCAATACATGTACTGATGCTTGATTAGATTTATGTTCCACATGTTAAACAGTTTCCTCTGAGACAAAAATGCGATATAGGTCTGTGGGAAACACCCTAGTAAAATAAAAGTTAATAATAATAATAATAATAATAATACTCATAAAAAGGACACACTTCAGGCTCATTACAAACATCTTGAAAGTTTTTGTCTTCACAAGTATACTTTCAAGCCTTCTCATCAGGTGAAATACAGGCAAGGGAAAAGGAACAGGAACAGTGGATTAAATACAGTAAGAAGGTAGTAAAACAGCAGTTCCACATGTTCTATTTATTTTATTTTACTTCAAGCACTTGTACTATTCAAGCACAACCCTACCAATGAAGGGAAAGAAGCAGCAAAGAGACACCTACTGAGTCTAATGACTGCCACTGTCAGTTCTCAAACAAAAACAATTTTTGTCGAATTGAAAAATCTCACCTGTTAGTGTTGCTCACTAGCCACTAGTGACTAGAGTTGTTCGTCCACGAAATTTGCAATATGCCACTACGGTACCAGCAAGAGTAGGTAAGTTGGCATAGAGCAACAGCTATGCAAAGCAATGTTCATCTCCTCTTCACTTTGGAAGGCAGTACAAGCACCCTTCATACCTCGACATTGCCTTGGAGTGGAAGCAAATTCACCATGAGTTTTCCAATTCGCTACGATCGATCTCGGGGTGATGATCGTGTCTTCTTCATCACCACTGCAGCCTGGACAGCCTTCGGGAAGACATGTGTCACTCTCCTGCTCAACAGATTCCTACATCTAGATTTGGTTACCGTCAGGGAACGAAACAGAGCTGCAAAACACCAAAGTAATTGTTTTCTTCCATTCAATTACACTGCTGAACATGCACAGCATGGTGACAGCTAAGCAGTACGCACGTCATCAAGGCCAATTTCCAAATATGGGAGGTGTTATTTATGAAATTTGACACAGTTCCTCTCCTCTGATCGGCTCGAGACATAGCTCATCGGAATCAGTGCCCAATTCTCCTTCGGATAAGCCATACTTATTTTTGGCGTTCAGTTTCCCTTTAATCTAGCCAGAAGCAGTCCATGGTTAACAGGTAAGTATACTTCAAATAGAAAGTATATACACACATACATACAAATACAACACTGAAGAGGGAAATGAAAACGTTTGTTCAAATCCATATTGTTTTTTACCGGCCTCAGAGGTCATCACTAGGCTAATACGAGACCGACAAATGCGGTAAAGGCCTCGCTTGATTTTCACGAAAAGTTTGAAGGCAGCAGACATGGGGCAAAAGGTTGGAACCACAATCGACTAACGTGTTATTTGGCATCCTTGTTATGTTATCAGGGTTTTTGTAGCTGCTTTGCTGGATATGTTTGTGGCCAACACCATTTTTCCTCAGGAATTTCTCTCAGACAAAAAATTGGAAATAATATTGGTGGTGTATCATGTGAGCTGATCCCTCTGGAGATGAATGTGGAACATCTACCACTCATACCAGTATGCAGTCTCATGATCATGCATTCTGAGTCTCTGATTGTAATTCCAAGCTCCTACACCGATCCTTCCCGTTCGGCCTACTAACAACATGGAACGCTCTACCATCTGCCATCCTGAACGCTCCCCCATCCAAGGCA